GCTATTGAGCATTCCCTGTGGGAGGATGGTCCACTGATATCTCCTAGTAGGCTAAGAATTATTATAAGTAGGCACTGTGAAGGCAATTTTTTCTCTGTCCTTTTCTTTTAAAGGTATAGTGAAGAAGAAACAATCTTTCAAACCAATAACTATATGAGGCCATCCTTTTGGTAATGGAGAATGCAGAGGATTTCCAGATTATAGAGGGCCCATAGGTTGAATTATCTTGTTGACAGTTGTTGGATATGTTACCATTCTCCATTTTCCAAATTTGTCTTAACAACAAATACAAGAGAATTCTAATTGCTGGTAGATTCTTCAGTATGGTGAGGTAAACATCTAATGTTGCTCCTGTACCAGTTGTTCTAAAGCCTGTAGGTTCTCTTGTGTTACAGGCCATTGTTTAACCCATATTGGTTTCTCAGTTAATCATTTTAAATGCAGTGCAGTTAGTATCTCTGATAGTTTGCTAGTTGTTTTTTGGTCTTGTGCAGCCTGAATGGCTGGTGACCTTTGTTTATAATATCCTGTCCAGAAACATGAGTTTTTCAGACTGCAGGAATGTTAATCTGGGTATTCCATTGCTGAAATAGGACATGACCCCATAAATTCACTGCAATATTAACTACATAGGGCCTCAGCCTTCCTTTCATTCCTTCTGGCCCTATGAATTCAACTCATCTCATGCTTTGTTTCACTTGAGATAGGGTTCCAATACCTAGGAATTGAATATCTGTTTCTTGAAGAGGCCAATTCAGATGCCAAGATTTTGGAGTAATAATAATCTACACCCATGTTTATGAGTTCTTCAATTACAATGCCATTTATACTCATTCTTAGCTTTGATCTTTGATCATTTATAGAAGTCTGCTAAAATATACCTTTAATATTTCCTAAAAGAGTTTTTGATTCATCCTCCTTGTCTATTCCATCGTACAGAACAGTATGATTTTTTACAGTAGGTATTGGTTGTTTAATTTTCCTGGTGTGACATGTTCTCCATAGTGACTGGGAATGACTCGACCAGGTTTGACATTGGGCAGTTTGAGAGGCCCTTGAAGAGTTTCCCAAAGGTACCAGTTCACCTTGCCTGTCTTTTGTCAATTTACATTCACTGGTCCAATGTCAGCCTTTTCCAAACCTTCAACTTATGCCAAAAAGCTATATCCTCCTATTCTTACCATTCCTAGAGGAGACGTTATTCCTAGGAGTTCCTTGTTTCTGATCCCTTCTCAGATGTCCTATTTTAACACAATTAAAACGTTTGGCATTTTGGTGTCCTCATACCATTGAAAATTGTTTTCCCTACCCAAGCCTCAGTACTATGGTCAAATGTCTCAGCATTCATTGTATGCAGGATTCATTCATCTATTGGTGCTGAGCTGACATTTAAAGGCTGAGGGATCTTTTTACATTCTAAATTGGCATTTTGAAAAGCCAAATATTCTATAAGTACACATCCAGCTTTTGGGTCTGTTACTGCTACTTGTATAGCCTTAGTTTACCTTTGTAAAAAGTCAGGAATGGATTCTCTCTGATCCTATTTAACCCTAATATGTAATTCAACTTTCTTTCCTAATTCCTAAATCCTGTCCCAAGCATTTAAATAGGGCTTGTCTTTTGTGCATTTGTTGTAGAGAGCCTGATACTGAGGATGAGACTAATGACCCTTACCAAAAATTTGATCTTGGGAAGTCTCAGATCCTTTTGCTTTCCCCTGTTGTTCTAAAATTTTGCCCCTTCTCTCAAATAATACTTTCAAAGCATCTGAGGTCCATCTACTAGGACCCCTGAGATTAATTGAAGCTAGTTTTGTGGAGAGGCCTTATTGCTTGAAGCCTACATTTTCACCATTTCTTTAACAAATGGTGAATGTAGTCCATGAGCTTCTATTGCTTATTTAATTTCTTTTAGATCGCTCCTACTCATAAGTTGCCATGTATATTCTCTGACTACCTTAGGGTACTTTGTGCCAGATGTTCTTTCTGAGGAAATTACAAGATAGGCAGTTAAAACTCTGGGTAAGTCATCACAGAGTCTGGCATATAATGATGAGGCTAAATCCTGGCGTGATATCTTCTCTTCCTGCTAATTAGTTGTGATAATTTCCTCAACCATTTTAATCTTTTTACCACTGCCATTTGTAAAGTCTGAATCTCATGTCCATTGTTCTGTTTTAATTTTTTCATTGAGGACTGCAATTTTTGAGCAAAGATTACTTCTCATTTTTGAACATAATTTTGATGGTGTGCATATTACCTTCCTGGAGAGGTATCATATCTATTAATCTATCTTAACTTTATAACAGATTTTGATTATTAAATTCAGCAGCACAAATTATTTCAGATAATGTCTCAGCACCCTTCAACAATGACTGGATTTAGTCTTTTAAATTAATGGTATCTCTCTCCAGAGTGTTGATTTTTCCAACTAGCTGTTGATTATTAGTCTATAAAGTCTGTATCATTTCAAAAAGTGCCTCATTCTTGGCTCTGTTATCAAAATATTTTTAATGACATAATATGAAAAACAAAACTAATCCCTAGAATCAAATAAAGGGATGTATAAGGAAATCACATAAGCCTTGCAGAATACCATCCATAGCATAAACAAAATAATTATTAACTCCTGGATAATTATGTTATCAGAATTATTGCAGTTTTACAAATCTTCCCTGTCATAAAGCAATTACAGTGAATTGAAATATGTGTAATAATTGTTATTGGCCAGCAGGTGTCTCAGTTGCAGCCACGTGGATGAAAGACGCTAGCAGGGGTGGACAATCCCCCCAGCTTGATTTTGCACGTGTAAGATACTCAAACATATGTGTTGTTTAACAAATTAACAGCAGTTATTAAAGACAATCAAAGAAATTCTCAGAGTTGGTGGCCATAACAGAGAAAACCCAAATTTTTCTGTTAGTCACTAGTTGTGAATGTGCCAAAAGAATCACAGGCAGCCACATGTGTGCCAGTGTGTAATACACTAAGTGGTATCATGTGGGTCATAAGCAGGGGAACACAGAGCAATAGCATGCTCTGTCTGAGTGCAAGCTGGAGCCGTGGGCAGGGAAAGTCAGTGCCCAATGTACCACATGTCTGGCAAACCGGGAACATAGTGAGGGTTCCAAAACAGGTAAACTAGCACCCACAATGGGGTGCCAGATGAAGGTGGATGCTAAAAGGAAATTGCACACTAGCTCAGAATTGAGTATGATAAAGAGTTACTTATTTAGGGGTAGACTCACAGATTACAGTCCTCTGCACAAACAGGGAATAAGAACTGATTCCAGCAGCCAGAAGGGAGAGAGTGAATGAATGTGTACCTCAGTAGTTATAGTGTAGGAGACCATGCCCAAGTGGACTAGTATCATAAAAGCTATTGGCTGAAGAAGCTCCCAAAGCAGGTGTTAAATATATTAATAACCTAAGGATTTTCATAAAGTGAGACATATTTGTTCCTGGCATCAGCATTATATTTCAGAGATGATAATGGACTCAAAGAAACTCCATATGGAACTTGCTTTCCTAAAGGGAAAAGCAAGTCAACTGGGCAAAGAAACTGACCTTTCCTCAATTACTGACAGTTACTGTCTAAACTGGACCAAGAGAAAGTAAAAGAAGGCAAATGCAAAACTTTGCCAAGACAAGGTAGTACAGTCCTACAAAATTCTGTGCTTCCCAGGAATGCAGGTCAGATATGCTAGACCTGTGGACCAAAGATGGGTGCCCCAACATTACAAAGTAACTTGGGGTGACTGTCCAAGAAGTTTCATGGCCTTGCCACGAGGAACCATTTCATCATTCTGGGGTCTTTGATGGAGTTGAAGATTAGATAGTTAGAGTTATAGTTTTTCTTAGTTATGATAAAAAGCATTTAGGTTTGGAATTTTATACTAACCAAGTTAAGAGATAATAGTGTATTATTTTCTAATTTTCTAAATACTAATTAACTGGATATAGTAACTGAAATTCTTACATGATAACTGTTTTGTTGTACATAATTTTACTATATTCAAGTTCAAATCTTCCTTTTTAATTAGGCAAAAAGAAGGAAATCTTTGGAATAAAACTTCTGTATACTGTGTGAATATATACTGACTGGCCAATAGTTGAGCAGGATAAACTTAGATGGGAAAGCCAAACTAATAAGGATGAGATGAAGAAGGGCAGAGTCAGAGGAGTCACCAGACAGAAGCAGAGAGATCAGATGAATGTACCATAGTAATAAAGGTATGACCATATGGCTGAGTGAAAATGATCAACAAAGGTTAACTTAAAGTTTAAGAATTAGTAATAATTCTGAGTTATTGGCTGAGCATTAGTAATTAATGTTAAGCCTCTGAATGATTTTTAGGGAGCTTCTGTGGTACAGGAAATTTTCAACTACAAGCCCCCTCACAACTGCTGATGCAGTAAGAGGTATGCTTACACCATGTGCGAAAAGGTCTCAGCACCCATCGAAGAGACATGCAGCCTCTCTTTCCGAAAAGCTTTAGTTCTCTCTTGTTCCTTTTCTGGTGAGATGTATCTTTTTAGAATTTGGAACACACTTGTCTCTGTCTCTCTCTGTCTCTCTGTCTCTGTCTCTGTTTGTGTGTGTGTGTGTGTTAATTTCAGGAGTTGGGACAACTTGAATGTAGCTTCATCAATGACAGGCTCATAATAGACTGTGTTACAAGTCCTTGATGCTGCCTCTATAGAGCTCTCTGCAAGGTTTTCCAGGAACCTCTATGGGGTCAATAGTCTCCACCTGGCAGTTTTGCTGATGAACCAACAGCTGATTGCATCTCCCATAACACTGGGGTGGGGTTAAAATTTTAAGTTTCAGCTTTTTCAGACTAGTGAAGTGGATTTGATTCCTCAGTTTCAGGACCTCACTTTTTCTACTTTATCAAGTTTCTTAATTCACATAAAATTGTTCTACAAGATATCTGGGATTTCTAAACGTACTAAAAGCATCCACGTCACTGGGATGTGCTTGTATATATTAAGGGAGCGCAGGTCAGCAATCCCACAATGTATTAAAGCATCTCAGCTGGTCAGGCACTGGAACCACTCCCGAGCTTCTGGTGAGTCAGTCAGTTCTGTGGGAACTCTCCACTTCTCTAAGAGCTAAAACAGCTACAGTCTGGTAACTTCTATCACTCCCTCCCTACTCTATCCAGAATATTTCCTATCTCTCGCAGCCATGCCAGAGCTCAGTGATCTCACGTTCTTTGCCTTTTTCTTCCAGCCCAAGGAAATTGACTCTCAACAGGATGAAGACTACAACTTGTTCTCTTCTCCTCATCATCTTCCTTTTTCAACTGATGGTCCCAGGGAATACTGGGCAGAACTTAGAATCTCTCCTGGAGAAAAAGATCCGGGAATATTTTGCCCTGCAAGGTATGAGATGAATAGAAGAAAACACAGACTAATCCTTGCTCATGCTGACTGCTCATAATACCTAAAATCCCTTCTATCACACTCTAAGATCTCAACCTCTAGTCAGTCTACTTCTTACCTGCTTTCCTGGTCAGGGCTTTTCTTAGTACTCTACCCTTTGTATCTCCTAGGTAAGAACTCAGTGTTCTTAATGAGGATGAAGAAAAGGAGAATAGGTCCTACAATGTATTAGCACATAATGAAACAAGTATAATATTAAGCTTTTAGTTAACTTAATTTTCACAGCCACTTTAGAGGTAAGTATACTTTATTTCTATCATTTCCATTCACAAATGAAGAAACTAAATCTTAAAAGTTAGTGAGTGGACTAATTATGGAAACAATGACAGTACCAAGACAGAGAGGATTTAAAGTGGAATATTGAGAAGGTTCATGGGCAATGTCACTTCTTTTCTCTTACTCAGCTTCCCGTCATTCCCCTGTGACTAAGAGTTTCTCCTGCACTAGTGTCAAGGCTATGGGCAGACTAGCCTCCTGTCCTGCTGGTGAGTAACTCCTCAAGGAGCGTTTGTGATTAAGGTGTCCCTGTGTCCATCCCAATCCTTACCTAATACTAAATTCTCCTAACTCATATTTTTATTGTCATGGAGTTGAGGCATAATCCCAGGTTCCTAGAAATCCCTTTCTGGTTTTCAGTTCCCTGAAGGGTGCTGCTGAGGGACTCTGGGTTTTCTCTTCTTGTCACTTCTTTATGCATGCCCATACATGGCAGTCTATGCAGAATTCAATTGTGTGCTCATGGCTATGGACCTTTTTTTCTCTCCCATTCTATTCCCTTGTTGAGGTAGAAAAGGTGTCAGCAGAGACGTGAATTTGTCATCAATTGAAAGATAGTGAAACTCCAAGTCTTTTAATTTAAATGATGTTTTTGAAGATGACTCACAAAATTGACTTAGTTTTATGTCCCATAAAATGTAGATCTATGCATAAGCTTCCTAGGGATAATAGTTAGGGACTCTCCTCGTTAGGTCTTAGGTCTCTGATGTCTTTTTCTCATTCAACCATGCAGGGATGGTTGCTACTGGTTGTTCTTGTGGCTTTGCTTGTGGATCTTGGAATGTACAGAACGAAAACATTTGCCACTGCCTGTGTCCACTCATAGACTGGACCGTAGCCCGTTGCTGCCAACTGCCCTAAGAGTGAAGAGGCTGAGAATCCAGTCTTGAATTGATGATCATAACAAAACTGTGATCTCACCCATGAAATCTAACTCCTTGTCCCTGTGATGAATTCATATTACACAATAATCCTGCTTCTTAAGAAATAAAAACAGATTTGCACTCACATGTGTTTATGTCTTCAATGTTTTTATACCTAGCTGGTGGTGTGTGTTGCCAGAAAACAGTTTTACTATCTCAATGATTACATTTCACTGTATCTGAGATGGGTGGTCAAAAAAGACATGAAAGGAATGGGAACAATGAATCTCCTCCATCCAATTCTCCTACTCCCCCATTTTAATAAAATGTATAAGTATATGGATGGCATGAAGTGCAGAGGAGTGGAATAGCATGCTTTTATGGGAGCCAACACTCTGCAACAGTGAGATTTGGAAGATTGTAAAGTGTGGGCAGACGAGGGAAATCTAAACTACCTATGCTCTAACTTTTCACATATACGTCTTCCAATTCAAGTGCCTGTGATGGCTTTAAGGTGATTTCTTTCCCAAGCATATGCCTCATATATGGCAAAAGAACACCACAGTCCTTACCTATCACTGAGAATTATGGTAATGCATCTTATATGGGCATAAATTTACAGATTTCCAAAGCAAAAAAATAGTTTAAAGTGTTAATGATAATGTTAAGAGAGCAATCAAGTGATTGGGTATTAAGTGTTTTATAAAGTTGGGGACTTCCAATTTTGAGCCTTCACAGGAGGATATAATTCATGTGTCAACTTTAGACTGCCAAAATAATTTTAATTAGGAGAGGTATGATTATTGTTAACTTAAAAAGAATTCAAATAGATTTACTACAACTACAATAAAAATCTTCTCTTTCCATCTTATTAATTATGGCAGTAGGTTTCTCAAAGGTAAAAACCATGAAGAACCCACATTTTATACCCAAAACTTACAAAAATTTAGCCAGGCATTCCTGTGTAAACTAATAATCCAAGTATTGAAGAAGCATAGACAGGCAGATTCCTTGGACAATTTGTCTAGCTAGAGTAAGTGTATTGGCAAACTTGGGGCACAGTGAGAGAACAAGGTGGACAATGCTGCAAATAGACTTTCAGCCTACCAACATATGTACATATATAAAAGCATGTGGGGTCAGGTGGAGTAGAAGGAGGGAAAGAGAGAATGGAGGAAGGAAAAGAAATAGAGGGGGGAGGGAGGAGGGGGAAATATGGGGATTAAGAATCAGATTGCCAATGTGGAATAAGCATTTTCGTCCAGGGTATGTTAAGTTCTTGGGAAGGAGCTCAAGATAGGACAGCTTTCTTTGCATGAGTTAAGGACACATGAGGTGCTCTAAAGTTACCTATGTTTTATATTATGATATCAATATCAACATGAGACCTTTGGGATAAACTATATAGGAACAGTTAGAGGTGAATAATGATGTGTTTGTATATCAAGTTGACATGGGTCAATTGTCCTGGTTGGCATTTTTGTGAACTTGGCACAAGCTAGAGATAAATTTAGGAGGAGCTGTGACTTGTGCTTTGAAAAGGGATACCTGACTGCTTAAATGATAACCTACTTTGTTTTTTATGCTTTTCATGCACAGAGACTAGTAGGTTTTCCATATTCCAGTGGATAATCCTCAAAGGTAAGGGCTTTCCAAATTTAACTCTATAAGGTATAAAACAAAAAACAGAAGCAACAACAACAAGAAGTTGGAAGGGACCACCCATTTTGGAAGACACTTAGGGGAGTCTGAGGGGAAGTGAGCATGGATACTTTTCAGGTTCATACTGTATACACATATGAAAGTCTCAAGAATAAAGAAAAATAAAATTAAACTAAGATCACCAAAGATAAAGGAAAGAAGAAAAACTGCCTGAGAGACACAGAGTAGGAGGCAACTGATTGAGGAAAGACTGGTTCCAAAGAAGTAGGCCCCAGGCCATGAGTCACAAAGGTCACTAAAAGCAGAACAAGATAAGCTGAAACAGCAAGCAGCTTGTAGTTATTTTCAACATTCCAAGGAAAGAATCACTTTTTTAAATTCCAAAGCAAACAATATGCAAGCATAAAGGAAAGAACCAAGTTAAAGGCACAGCCCCTCCTGATTATACTAGACAAATGTTACTGCATTGCTGACAATATTATCTGGAAAGTACAAATATGTTTGATTATGAAATTTCTTTTATTTCTGAGTTTGGGTGTGATTTATTACCTGTCTCAGACTTAGAAACATAATAAAAAGAGAACATTTTGAGACTATCTTCCAAAGAAACTTACCACTTTGATAGGACAAAACTATGTTTCTTCATATTTAATATGTGACAATTTAGCCTCAAAAGCCCATTAGCCAATACCTTGCAGGCTTATTGGCATTGATATGGAAGAGAACAATGACATAACAATATGGTTCTCATAGAAATATGATAATATTGGTGGACAGTATCACTGTAATTTATACACACAGTCTACTTAACCCTCTCCATTGCTCTTGAAGTGTTGTTTGGCCAATCTCAAGATGAGGAAACTGGGATCTTGAGATGGTTAAGTGGCCTTTTTCTTCACAGCTAGGACAGGAAGAAAGGATGCTGTCTTTAGAGGTGCACTCAGAAGCCTTGTAGAGATTAAGAAAAGGTATCTGAGATTGCTTATTGAGGCCAGAAAAATAACTTGTCCAAAAAATATGACTAAAAAGATACATGAATGTCAGTGGCTAGAAAGCAAGAAAATATGTTCTATTTTCATATAAAGGGGAATTTTATGGAGTGTGTTTCTCTGGCAGTGAGAAGATTCATAAAAGGGAAAACAAGGTTTAGAAATATCACTATTTATGTAATGATAACACCAGCCATTTTTTGTAAATATCTATACAAGAAGCTTAGCTGAATAATGAATTTACTTGTTATTCAATTGAATGGAAATATTTTTATTTCTTCTTTATCAGTGTCCACATTGGTGATTTCATTGTAGAAGGCATAGGGCTTACACAGTGTATCTTTCACTTCCTTAGTGACAAATAAACTTAAGTGTGTGTCCCATACACTATTGTCATTCCCACTGGGGTAAAAAGATACACATACAGCTCTTTATCATTCCTTATGAGATTCTCAGTTTGTTCAAAAGTTTCTTGATTCTTTTCAGACCAGTTCCATATCACATCCCTCTGTATACCAAATGATACAAAGGACGGCTACTTGAACTCAGTGGAAATCTTCTAATATCCTGTGTTACAGTATACCTGTGGCTCTTTTATATTTATAGACACACAAGATACTACAGATTTTTTTTTAAAATAAACAATCTTTTTCAGGTATCATATTTATCTTACTGGACCATAGTACATCCAAAAATTCTACATTGTGTGGATTGATTTTCTACCATTGTATTTTTATGGGTACATGAACAGTTTTAGATTTTTATCTAAACTAAAAACGCTAAGAGATTAGCATCATGCTATCTATTTGTTTTAAATAGAGGGCTGTCACCAAGACACATTAAAAACCCAGGACACCACCCACAGCAAAGAATGTGATTGTGAGGTAATATTGGGGCTATGAATGCCTACTGTTGACCATTCCAGGTAAGTGAAAATTGTTCCTGATGTCCAGTAGCTAACGAAATGCTAAAAAGCAAACAAACAAACAAACAAACAAAAAACCCAATGCATTAGCAAGATCTAATGCAGCCTGAAAAGATCCCACTGCTGGCTTCTTTATGCTGAGGAAACTCAATGAGACATGCAAGAATTTCCCCATCCCTAAAACCTTGGTGGGGATATTTCAATTAGTTTAGTCCAGCAATAGGTGGAAACAGCATTCCATGTGCCTGATTGTACCACACCTAGGGTCTGGTAGACCCTATATCTGTGGTCATTTTCACCATCTGTCCCTCAGGCTTGCCTGGAATCAATTAGACTTCCCGATTAGCTTAAGAATTCTATCCCCAACACTCCTTTTTGTACAGGATTTTTAGGGGAAATATTGCTCATCCTGAGGACCAGCTCAATTATTTTAATTGGTCTGTTTTATCCTCAGAACCACCCACCTATTCCTCCTAGTGCATTGAAGTACTGCCGTTCATTAATTTAATTTTGGATTCTATACTCACTCAAGTCTAAGTAACTTGTACTTAATATAACAAACCCACAAATCCATAATTGCCAAGAGGCCTACAGTTACCATATACAGCCTTCAACTGCAGGCCACTATGGTCACCCCGTCAGAAGAGCAGCTTGGTGATTTCCAATCAATGACATTGCCTTCCCCTGCATGGGGTGTGGTGGAAACTACTTGTACCCATCCCGCTTTCACTCCTTTGAAGCCTTTCAAAAAGCCACAAGCACAGTATGTGGCCTTTTATCATTCCCCCCTAGGGACTTATGACATTTGCTTTTTATTAATGTGAAAGTGACTTATTACTTGCTTTTTCCTTTCCTCATCTATTCCTGAGTGCTTTAACATGTTTATAAACTCAGTTTGTGTGCTGGTCTAGAATCATGTAGGTCTGCTACAACCTTTCCAATGTCTCATGGATCCCATGCCACCAAGGGACATATACAATGCCACTAATGCCCTATAACAGTCTTGTGGGCCCTGATGAATCAAGTTTTTTGAGTTTGGTTTTTCTAACTCCCCAGTTAATATAATATAACCTGGTGAACTAGGCATTGAGCGTCACATCGGTATTCCTTAGATTGTTTACTTGTTTATTTATTTATCATTTTGTTTTCTTTACTAAACCTGATGCTTCCTATGGATTTCAAGTGTTTGAATACCAGGAAGGAATCTTTAGTACAAAACTTCCTTGTTCTAAGAAGAAGCCAAGCCTGATTCTCCATGTCATTCTCTCTTTTATCAAATTTACCCCCAAACCAGAGGGTAAAGCCAAACATAATAGGCATATATTCCTCCCTCTTGTAAGTTCTCTCTTAAACAAGCAAATTCCCATTGACTTGCCATCTTTATAGTAAATACACTTTTCATTACACTAAGCAATAGTTTGGCAACCTCACTACAGCTTATCTATACTCTCTTTTTTTTAACCTGTTGCTCTCAAGGACAATAAAATTTGCTCTAGACCTTTAGACTATCTAAGAATTTCCAAATTCACACAGCTGAGCCCACTTATTGATCAGGCATTTTACCCTACAATACTTAGAGGATGGTTGCTCCACTTAAATATCTCCAATAAACACCTTGCTCAGACTTCCCCACTGGGTAGTTAACTCAGCCCTGACTGCATTTTTTATCAACCAAGCAAAGCCCCTTACTACTGCAGAAGTAGCCAGAGGTATGCTTACACCTTGTGGGAAAAGTTCTCAGCACCCATTATAGAGACATTCATCTTCTCTATCCTAACAGCTTTTGTCTTCTCTTGTCTCTATTCTGGTGTCAAGTGTGTTGTATGAGACTTTTTCTTTTTAGGATACTGAACACTCCTCTTTCTCTTTTTTTTCTCTCTCTCTCTCATGTGTGTGTGTGCATACACATGTATGTGTTTGTGTGTGTGTGTGTGTGTGTGTGTGTGTGTGTGTGTGTGTGTGTTTATTTCAGGAGTTGGAATAACTTGAATGCAATCCTATCACTGTAAAATTCACACCAGAATGTGTTGTGAGTCACTGATGCTGCATCTATAGAGCTCTCTGCAAGGTTTTCCAGGAACCTCCATGTGGCCAAGAGTCTCCACTTGGCAGTTCAGCTGATCAATCAACAATTGATTGTATCTCCCACAACACTGGGGAGCTAGAAATCTTGTAAGATTCATATTTTCTAGGCTAGTAAAGACGGTTTGCCTTCTCAGTCTCACGAACCTCACCTGTTCTACTTTATCAAGTTTCTTAATTCACATAAAATTGTTTTGCAAGACATCTGTGTTTTCTAATTGTACTAAAAGCATCCACGTCACTGGGATGTGCTTGTATATATTAAGGGAGCCCAGATTAGCAACCCCACTGCTTATTAAAGCATCTCAATTGGTTAAGCCTGGAACCACTCCTGAGCTTCTGGTGAGTCAGTCAGTTCTGTGGGAACTCTCTCTGCTTCTCTAAACAGCTAACACAGTTACAGTCTGGTGACTTCTGTCTCTCCCTCCCTACTCTCTCCAGAATATTTCCTTTCTCTCACAGCCATGCCAGAGCTCAGAGATCTCATCATCTTTGCCCTTTACTTCCAGCCCAAGGACACTGACTTTCAACAGAATGAAGAGTGCAACTTTTTGCCTATTCATCTTCATCTCCCTTCTCCTGCTGATGGTCCCAGTGCATACTAGGGAGTCTGCAAACTCTCTCCTGGAGAAAAAGATCAAGGAACTTCTCAATTATCAAGGTATGAGATGATTTGAAGAACTCATAGGCTAATCCTTGCTCATGCAGACTATTGATAAAACCTCAAATCCCTTGTATCTCACTCTAAGATCTCAATCTCTCTTCAGTCCACTTCTTCCCTGCCTTCATAGTCAGGGCTTTCCTTAGTACTCTACCCTGTGGATCTCTTAAGAATGAACTCAGAGTTTTTGATGAGGATGAAGAAAAGGATTTTAGGTCTTGTAATTTATGAATACATAATAAAACAAGCATAATATTAATCTTTTAGTTAATTCATTTAATTTTCACAGCCACTTCATGAAGTAAGTCCTCTCTACTATTTACTACTTTCTCTTCACAAATGAAGAAACTAAATCTTAAAAGTTAGTGAAGGACTAATTATAAAAACAGTTATACCAGCAAGATAGAAGACTTAAAAAGAAATGGTGAGAACAAAACATTCATGGGCAATATCACTTTTTTTTCCTCTTACTCAGATGGCTGTCCGTCCGCTGTGACTCAGACTCTCTCCTGCACTAGTGTTAAAGCTATGGGCACCCTAGCCTCCTGCCCTGCTGGTGAGTAACTCCTCAAGGAGCATTTGTGAATAAGGTGTCCCTGTGTCCACCACCATCAATTTCCTAATGCCACCTTCTCCTAACTCAGGTTTGTACTGCCATGAAGCTGAGTCATAGTCTCAGGTGCCTAGATAGCCTCTCATGGTTTTCAGTTACTGTAGGAATGCTACTGAAGGACTCTGGGTTTGTTCTTCCTGTCATTTCTTTCTTCATGACCACAGTCTACCCAGACTTCAATTGTGAATTCATGATACGGCCCTCTTTTCTTTCCCATTCTATTCACTTATAGTGGCAGAAGAGTAGTCAACAAAGATTTGAATTTCCCTTTAATTGAAGGACAGTGAAACTCCAAGTCTTTTAAATAATCTTTTTTATTCTTGAAGATAATGCTCAAATTTTATCTAACTTTATGGCCCACAAAACATAAACACATGAGCTTTCTAGGGAGAAAAGTGAGGGACTTCCCATCTCTTTATGGTCCTTGCTCTCTGATGTCTTTTTCTCATTCAACCATGCAGGGATGGTTGCTACTGGTTGTTCTTGTGGCTTTGCTTGTGGATCTTGGAATATACAGAACGAAAATGTTTGCCACTGCCTGTGTCCAATCATAGACTGGACCGTAGCCCGCTGCTGCCATCTGGCCTGAGAATGAGGAGGCTGAGAATCCAGTTTTGAAATGATGATCATAACAAAACTGTGATCTCACCCATGAAATCTGACTCCTTGTCCCTGTGATGAATTCATATTACACAATAATCCTGCTTCTTAAGAAATAAAAACAGATTTGCACTCACATGTGTTTATGTCTTCAATGTTTTTATACCTAGCTGGTGGTGTGTGTTGCCAGAAAACAGTTTTACTATCTCAATGATTACATTTCACTGTATCTGAGATGGGTGGTCAAGAAAGACATGAAAAGAATGGGAACAATGAATCTCCTCCATCCAATTCTCCTACTCCCCCATTTTAATAAAATGTATAAGTATATGGATGGCATGAAGTGCAGAGGAGTGGAATAGCATGCTTTTATGGGAGCCAACACTCTGCAACAGTGAGATTTGGAAGATTGTAAAGTGTGGGCAGACGAGGGAAATCTAAACTACCTATGCTCTAACTTTTCACATATACGTCTTCCAATTCAAGTGCCTGTGATGGCTTTAAGGTGATTTCTTTCCCAATCATATGCCTTATATATGGCAAAAGAACACCACAGTCCTCACCTATCACTGAGAATTATGGTAATGCATCTTATATGGGCATAAAAATTTACACATTTCCAAAGTAAAAAATAATTTAAAATGTTGATAATAATGGTAAAAAAGCAAAGAAGTAATTGTGCATTAAGTGTTCCGTAAGATTTGGGGCTTCTAATTTTGAACCTTTACAGGAGGGTATAATACATGTTTCATCTTTAGACTGCCAAAATATTTTAATTGTGATTATTGACAACTAAAAAGAAATAAAATATTATTAATTAAAATTAAATTGGCTACAATTACAATAAAAATCTTCTCTTCCCATCTTGTTAATTATGACAATCGGTTTCTCAAAGCTAAAAGCCATGAAGAATCCACTTTTATATCTAAAACTCACATAAACTAGTCAGACATGTCAGTGTATACTAGTCATCCAAGTGCTAAAGAGGTATAGACTGGCAGATTCCTTGAACATACTGTCTAGTCAGGGTAACTGTATTGGCACAATTGGAGCAAAGCGAGAGAACAAAGTGGACAATCTGAGGACAATGCTACAAATTGACTTCCAGCCTACCAACATATGTATGCATGTACACACACACGGCGGGGGAGTGGGAATTAAGAACCAGAATGCAAGTATGGAATGAGCATTTTCTTCCAGGGTAAGTTAAGTTCTTGGGGAGGAGTTCAAAATGGAACAGCTTCCCTTGAATGAGCTAAGAACCCATGAGTTATTTATGTTTTATATCATGGTATTAATATCAATATTAGACCTTTGAGATAAACCATGAAATAAAAGTTAGAGGTGAATAAATGATGTGTTTGTGTATCAAGTTGATATGGGTCAATTTCCTGGTTGGAATGTTTGTCAACTTGACACAAGCTAGAGTCATATTTATAAGGAGCTGTGGCTCTCCCTTTGAATGAGGATATCTTACAGCTTAAATGATAGTTCATTTAACTTATTTAAACCCTGTGCGGGCCAAGCTCTCAAGCCAAATTTACATTGACATTAGAGTTTTCTTATTTGGTTCCCAGCATTTCCGTTAGACTTACTTTGCCCCAGGGTCTGCCCAGTTCCTGATTTCTCATATTGAATTCCTGGTAAAGTGGCAGGCTTAGAAATTGACCTGAAATTTTAAAAAATAGATAAAAATCTTTCCAAAATCTTTCCAAAAGCAAGCATTTTTGTTGCTCCCCAGTTTTTCTATCTTTTGAACAACATGTTGCTCACTTTTCAAATCCTATTCCTAGGCTTCCAGGCCATTCTTCACAAAGATATCAGGCTCTATGCCAACAAATAGTGACACCTCTTAAAATTATCTGGGTCCTTTCTAGGTTTGTGTAAATATAACATATCAATTGTTAATGAAAGAATGGAGTGAATGAGAACTGAGAAAATGAACAAAAATTGTAGCTGCTGGGAATAGAGAATTGAGACATTATGGAGCCTTATGCCAAACTTTATATCAACAGGGCCTGCTGGGATCACATTCCAGATGTCTCAGTTGGCATCAGACAGCTTAAATAGGAAAGATTTGTTCAAGTTGTCCTTTAATTCTGAACTTGAAATTCTAAACTCCAGAATAAAAGTACAGAAAAGAAAAATAGAAATCTTCAGAGTAGAATCAATTCCTAGATGCTAATCTATGGGCACAACACCCAAGTTGCTGAAAGTGACAGTAGATAATGGCCATTCTGTTTGATAACACTGCTTCAAAGCTTCATGCTCAGGTTTTACTAAGGTTTGGTATGGAAAAAAAACAGAATAACAATGGTAGAGTCTGGCTATTGAGGAATATTTTAGTGTATGTAACACCCGTGATAAGTATGTTTAGAGATGTACTATGAAAGTATAAAACTTCTCATAATTCTTTTTTTAACTCCCACAAGTTCCTGCTTAAACATCAATTACATAGCAGGAGAGGCGAGAGTCAATATCCATCACTATACACCTGCTTTTGAAACAACTTTGTTTAGGAGAATAAAACCTTTGAAGCTGAGTGTAAATAGCCTTTGGGGGTCTCAAGCAGTCTTACATCTAAAAACATAACCACTTTGCTGTTTTATTTTTATATTTGTGGCATTGCATAAGAATTTTTGTTTCATGATTTATATGACTTATATTTATGATCAATGCATATAAATATGATTTATATTTATGGTCAATGCACAAATGAAATAGGAAATACACTATCTGAAATGGATAAAGGACATGTTTGAATCTGCATCTTGTATGTTGCAGGGGGCCACTTGTTTGTCCCGGCTACCCAGCTAGCTTAGCCCTGAAATAATCACACAGAAATTGTATTAATTAAATCACTGCTTGGCCCATTAGCTCTAGCCTCTTATTAGCTATCTCTCACATCTTAATTTAACCCATTTATTTTAATCTGTATATTGCTACGTGGCTGTGGCTTACTGGGTAAAATTCCTAGTGTCTGCTTTGGTGGATCTATGGCGTCTCTCTGACTCTGCCTTTCTTCCTCCCAGCATTCAGTTCTGTCTTCCCTGCCTACCTAAGTTCTGACCTTTCAACAGGCCAAGGCAGTTTCTTTATTCATTAATGCTAATCACAGCACACAGAGGGGACTCCCAAATCACTTGTATTTCATTTAGCCCTAGAGAAGGTAGAAAACTTCATAGAAGGAGAATAGTGGACTAAAGAAACCCTGGTTCCAGTACTAGATCTTAATCTAAAACTTGCTCTTATGGCACGTTTACTAAACACAATGTTCACCTCAGTCTTGGGTTGGTTATCTTTTGAGAGATGACATCAAATTATAACAGGTCCAAGGATGCTTTAGGCTCTGATGCTCCGATGATGATGCTAGGCTGACATATAAAACTCAGAGATGCCCTTAGAAAACTGTAAGCAGAAGTTAATGCCCAATCTCATGGGAGTTTGGAATGCGATGATTTCAGGAGAAGTACAAAAGCTGAAGACTGGACTGCTGAGGTGAGGAAGGAATAGAGGGCATGGCTGTTACATTCTGACAACAACACCCTTTCCATGTCCAGAAAATTTAGGTGACCATTAATTCAAAGGGGATGTATTAAGTTATTTGAAACTTCCAGTCTGTCATAATGTTGAAGCTGTGGCATGGTTATTACTTATTGTTCATTCTCATATTTATAGTGATAGAATGAAGAATATATTAAAATGTGTTTCATACTTTCTTTTTCATTTATATTTCAATTCACATATTTAATAACTATGCCCTTATATAGAGCCTCCCATTTTGCATTTTCTCAAGTATTATGGCCAGTGTCTAAAGTTAACTACTGGGCCATGAGGACGCAGCAACAACCACTTTTTCTCAGGAGCTTCACAAGGAGGCAGAAGAGTCTGTGATACAGCACCCATCAAAAAAGGAATTTTCTTCTCAACACACAAGTATTTAAAAAATAGTTTGAGAGTTATACCATAATATCCATTTAACAAAAGAATAGCAAGAGATTCCATATTGGGACTTATAATATTTCTAACTGCAGGTTTTTTCCTGGCTTATAGTGAAGATATAAAAGATATGAACTCTCCATGTGGTATTAGTTAAACCCACCCTAGATGTGCCACTATTTTTCAGGCAACAATCTGCCTGGCATTCAGTACTCTAGCAAGTAAGATCCAGAGCCTAGTAGAACTATTCATGACAACTCGTCCCCAGCAGCCTGTGTAGCAGCTTCCCATACAAGCAGTAAGGAGAGAACTCCCATCTCACCTGAAGCTTTATTTCTTTATGCCTTGTAACCAAATCATGAGGAATATTTAGCAATAGAGTCTGCTGGTGGCTATGTCAAAAGAGCAGCAGGTTGAAATTGAAGTTCAAGGTATCAGTCCATGAGGTGAAAACTTTCTGATGAGTGAATCTTGTTTAGGCAAAACTGTGGGACTACAGATCCCAGAATGTCTTCTGCTTGTCTTTCCATGCTTGTTACTCCAATATTCCTCTGGTATCTAGCATGGTGTGAGTGGATGTTGGGAGATCTCCACTGTCTTCAATACAGTGTGTTTGTCTTTTGGAAACGTCCTGTTCTAGTGGGAATTTTCATCTGTGGATTGTCAAAAAGATAAGCTCAACCTAAGTTATACTGTCTAATTTGATTATAATAATAATAGCCTATACAGAGTTTTAATGAATAAAAATGAATACAAAAAATATGTTTTACAGCAAGGGCCTGTGAATTTCATCTAAGTAGTTATATAGATTGTAGCTCAAGTTAATGATTAAAAAAACAATTACGAATAATGCTGATATGTACTCGGTTGAGCAAATGCCCTTGTTGTATGAGTGAGTATCCTTTGGGGTTATGTCCAAGAGTGATATTGCTGTGTTTTGAGGTAGATTGTTTTCTAATTTTCTGAGAAATCACCATACTAATTTCCAAAGTGGCAGTAGAATTTTGCACTTCCACTAGCAATGGAGGAGTGTTCCTCTTACTCCACATCCTCTATTGCACAAACTATCATCAGTGTTTTTGATCTTAGCCATTCTGGCTGGTGTAAGATGCTATCTCAGAGTCATTTTGATTTGCATTTTCCTGATGACTAAGGAAGTTGAGAAATTCCTTAAGCATCTCTCGATCATTTGAGATT